AGCGGAGGTGTACCCTGGCAAGGCAGAAAACATTTCCCTGTATCCCTGGAGCAGCTGAGAGGCCTCTGCCTTCTCTAAGGGGTTTAATTTTTCACCTAGTCTGACTTGCTCTATCGTACCGGGGGAAGGGGCGAGCAAGTCAGGTAGGGGAAGACCCTTGCTATCCTCAAATGAAAGGGCACATACTGCCGCTATGTCCTCCACCCGCTTTAAAGTAGGGCTTGAGCATGTTCACATGAAAGGATCTGAACATATTCCCTACGCTGTAGGTAGTGTTGCTTATTGGGGTCCACTACCCAGCGAGGTCCCTGCCAGGCGGTCTGAAGCTTTCTTAGACGGTTTCTAGGACCCTATCTTGGGCGCCTCTATTGTACCACCTTTTCTGGCGTTGTTAGGCCACCTGCAGATCCTCCCGGTCGGAGTCGAAGGAATTTGAAGGCGAGAACCCCGTAGATGCTTGGGGCACTTTGTGGAAGGCAAACAGGAGATGGGGAAGGAATCTTTCCCAGTACTGACAGGAGGCTGCGAACGTCTTAAGCATCTGTTTGAGCGTGCCATTAAAACGTTCACTTAGTCAGTTTTTCTGGGGATGGTAGGGAGAGCTGAACAGGGATTTCACTCCGCAACTCTGCCATAACTGTTGGTTCACAGTTGCGGTAAATTGAGACCCCTGATCAGACAAAAATCTTCCTAGGGAAACCAACCCTAGTAAAAATCTTTACCAGAGCCTCTGCCACTGTCTCTGCCTCTATATTAGAAAGAGCTACAGCCTTGGAGTACCTGGTAGCATAATCTACCGTGAGGATATAGCTCTTTCCCGAGGTGCTGGGCTTAGTTGAGAAAGTTGAGAAATAGTGAGTTTGTCGCAGAGCAGATAGCACTCCGGACGAAAGGTTATTCATATCACAGTAAAGGTTCTAAGTTGACTCTGTATCTGCTTCCAATAATTAATGATTTTAGGGCAATCCCAGAATATGTGAGGGATTGTCCCACTCCCTTCTCACTTCTCTGCCTCCTTTTCATGAAAAGCATTGTAGTTTATGGAGAGATAAGACTCTCACATAGTCTTCAATCATTTAAGAAGTGGTTTAAAACCCATCTCTTTAATGTGTTTTATACCCCACCTTCTATAGACTGTAAGCTCGTTTGAGCAGGGTCCTCTTCAACCTATCGTTCCTGTAAGTGTTCTTGTAATTGTGCTGTTTATAGTTAAATTCCCCCTCTCATAATATTGCAGAGCGCTATGGAATCTGTTGGCGCCATATAAATGGCAATAATAATACTTACGTTAGCTCTGTGAGATAACACAGCTTTGCCCCAGCCTGGAGAGACTAGAAGCTGCTCCTTTTGTAAGTTTGTATTTTATTATATGTTTCAGTCTAAGAAAGGTAAACACCCACCTCTTGTGGTGAAGGTCAAATGTCCTCTGCAGTATTAGAAAAGACCTGACATCGCCACTCTAGCACAGATCAGCAACTGTCGCTACCCCACCCTCTTCCCTTGCGTGTAGTACAGTTCATTAATGGGTGCCATGGCTAGTGGACTGTCCAGTTCCGTTAGTGGTCTGGCCCATTTTGACCAGCCCATAATCAGTAGTTTCGTACATGGTAAGCTGTTTGAAGTGTGACGTGTTGAAGCAGAGAACTTCCATAATTTCCCTTCTAATTTCTTTGGTTTGAGACATGCTTTTTCTAGGGGAGCCCACACCGGTGTCGTACCTTTCACTTTTAGGAGTGCTATACCCTGTGCTACCACAGAGACTTTATACTTTGTCAGGTACACCCAGTCCCTCTTTCTGAAATGGTAACCAAGAAAGATTCCTTGGTATTCGAGGAGGCTTCATTTTCCAAATGTAAGCACTTAAAATCAATTGAAATTTGCACAACATGCTGTTAGGTAGAGCTATGGGGAGTGTAACGGATCACCTGGCACCCCGACTGGGTACCTCCATTGATGGATGCTCCTAGTGCTTCCCAAGGGCTCCAAGCACTCCACTTGATACCATAAGCACTGCAGACCCCACGAACCACCGCAGCTTGGTTGGGGGCTCGCCGTCTCCTACCCACCCTGTCCCTACGACAAGATTGGTGGGTGAACCTCTCTTTCCCCAGAGAGTGAAGCAGGAACAGGAACAGGCTCTAGTGATTATTCAAGGAAGTATGAAGAGCATAGCAATCCCTTGTAGCAGATTCCCCCAATAAGACACAGGACTCTAGATTGAGGGTGAAGTAGAACTGAAGGTTTAATGGGACAGCTGCTTCTTTTATACAGTATTTCCCCACAAGGTTACCGCCCACGTGGACCTTGTTGGGCACAGGACATGAAATGCACAATCCAATAAAAACCAGAGTTTTACATTTGAACACACCCAGTTACTTTACACAAACCCTCCACTCTGCCTGTGATACAATTAACAAAGACAATGAACTAACTCAATTAACTTTAGCAGAAAAAAACATACATTTTTACAAACCCTAAAAAGTACCCCAAAATAAAACACATCCCCTGATAGCCCCGATCTGGGTGAACAACATATCCAAAAATCAACCAGATTGGTTCAGGGGTTCATGGATTTTCTGGAAGTCTTATTTTTGTCCCACAATGCACATGGTCCCATGCCCAAAACAGTTCCATACACTCGATGGCAAAACACTGCTGGAAAATTTAAAATGGCCGCCGCCACATGTTTGAATCTGTTCCAGTTAAAAGTCCAAGGGGCAGAAACAGTACTTTTGAACATGGGTTATCACAGGGCCCATAGTCCCAGGGTTGGAGACGGGCAAGCAAGCCCCTCCAAAAACCAGTGACAAAGTGTAGTTCGTCACAGGGAGTGTTCTGAAAAGATAAAAGTGTGAGACAAGATCATCATCTTGAAGGTATGTATTCTTCCTAACCACAAGATGTATAGGTCTCTCCATGCATTTAATTGTGTGTGTAGTTTATTAGCAACTGATACATGAATTTCCTGAATGAGTCTACTAGAGTTTTTAGTTTGATCCCCAGATATTTTAGGGAGACGCTGCGCCAATCAAATAGGACGTTTGTAATGTGTATGTTGTTGTTTTAGGAAGGCCAATGGGTAGGGCCAGGGGCGTATTAGCCGCGAGGCAAACAAGGCATTTGCTTTGGGTGGCATTTTTCAGGGGGCAGCAAAAAAGCCACCCCCAAATGCCCAGGGCAAATGCCTTGTTAGCCTCGTGGCTAACAGACATTACGAGCGGGCAGCGCTGGGCGGGCGGCCGGCGAGGGAGCTCTTCACCTGAACGCTCTGCTCAGCTCCCTCGCGCGCCGACAGCAGAGTGAGGGTGGGAGCCGGAATATGACGTCATCAACCGGGCTCCCACCCTCACTCTGCTGGCGGCGCGCGAGGGAGCTGAGCAGAGCGCTCATGGGAAGAGCTCCCTCGCCGGCTGCCCGCCCGCCCGCCCTGCAGCCACTGGACCCCAGGACCCCAGGGACAGAAAGAACCCCCCCAGCATTCCCAAAGGTAAGGAGGCTAGGGGGGTTAAATACAAAAAAAACACAAGTTAGTGTGTGTCTGTTAGTGTGTGTGTGTGTGTCAGTGTGTGTGTGTGTCTGTTAGTGTGTGTGTGTGTGTCTGTTAGTGTGTGTGTGTGTGTGTCTGTTAGCTAGTGAATGCGTATCTGTCAGTGTGTGTGTGTGTGTATTTAGAAGGCGGAGCAGGGGGGAAGGGTTGGGTGGCGGTTGCGCGGGTGGGGGTATCACGGGGGGGTGCCTGAGTTTTGTCCTGCCTAGGGCAGCACAAAACTAGGATACACCACTGGGTAGGGCCTGTCTCTTTTTTGCATTTTTGTAATATGAAATTGTACTGTACCTGTCTCATTGAGACAATAAGTTGGGAATAGAGCGTTCTGGATGGGTAATGAATAGTAGGATATCATGAAGAGAGCAATTTTGTGCTCTTGTGTGGGTGTTTCTAACCATGATATGTTGGTATGTGATTTAATATGCCTGACTAGCAGTTCCAAGCCGAGGTGAAAGTGGACAGCCCTCACGGGTGCCTATTAAATGGGTCAGCTAAAAAAAACAGAGTTAATGATCCTAGCTGAGGGCTAGGAGTAAAGAGCCATAATGCTAGTTAGAAAATAAGCTGGAATGCCCAGTTTCAACAGAATGACTTTTATATAGATCCAATTTAGCCGATCAAACACTTTTTCGGTGTCTATAATTGAAATGGAAATCAATAAATAAATTGATTATTCTTTGTGTATCTGCCCCTGGCCAAATTAAGAAACAATGCGTGCATGCTCCCTGAAGTAATTCACACTAGACACAGGTTTCAGGTTGATGAATAACTTGAGGAATGTTTATTCAGAGGGGACGGCAGGTCCCTTTTAAAGCAAAATTACATCATAAGCATTGTCAGAGATAACATGAAATAATACATCAATAATTGGTTAAGTGTTAAGTGGTCTTCTTAATGCTCTGCCTACTAAGGGTGATGTCACTGGAACCATGAGGGTCATCCCCGGATTCCAGTGCCATCTTGTTACACGAGGTAGTTAGTTGGTGTTATAGGGAGGGAGGGGTTAGAAGCTTCTAGTGGCCATTTTGTCTAAATATGCGTGAATAGCTTATACACTGATTTCAGTTAAATGAGTAAATAGGCATTTTACTAACTAGAAAATGTCAATATCTCATTTCCACAACAGTCCACCCTTAAAATGGCTATTGACCATAACAACTGCTACTGTCCCTAGAATGTCTCTAGCTGCCTGCAGCTCATCTGTCTTAACAAGCATCGAACTCTTCACTCCGTGGGTAACCCGCGGTAGCTAGTCCACCACATCTCCGCACGTGAGACTTGCCTGTAGAGACAGACGCTTTCCCTATGCTATCCCTATAGAAACGCAGTTGTCTGTTTAAATTGGAGGGGTGTATGTGGTGTGTCACATTCTAGGTCAGTGACGTCCTGGTGTAGGAAAGTAGGGGTTACGTTGTCTATAGTCTTCCCTACTGTCTTCTGTAAGTACTTTTGTATACAAGGAAGTACACAACAGGTTAAAAATAGGAAGATCACAATCATTACGAGAACTGCTGTCCCAACCTAGAATAGGGTTCTCTGCCAACCATTCATCCATCCAAACCATCTGTCCCAGGTATCAATGACTCCTGAGTTCTTTCTTAGTTCATCAGAGAGGCTATCTAATTTCTCTATAGCCATAGTTACCTTACCATTGGGCCCAGTGTTATCTGGAATAAATGTGCAGCATGTCATGGTTTCTGGGAGGATTTTACATACGCCCCCCTTTTCTGCTAAGATCATATCCAGAGCCATTCTATTTTGAAATGTCGTTTGAGTGGTGGCTTGTAGTTGTTCTGCTAGGCCCTGTAGGGCATCCCTGGTATAGTTAACAAACCGCTGCTGATTGTAATAGATGTAGTTAATCCAATTGACATTCTTATTAACAGTAATCATTGGAATCAAAGATTCAAACCCGGCTGCCACTTCATCCCTTGCCTTGAATTCGTTGGGCACCAACCTTGGCACACCAATGGCATCAATACAAACATGTGGATCAAAGCTTCCTCAGATTGGGGCTTCCCTCCTGGCTCTGGAGTGTGTGTGTGCGGGGTTTAACGCATTGTGATAGCCATCCGGGATAATGTGGATGGGCATTATGGCTTTGGTCAAAGTACATTCTCCCCACCATAGTCCCGCCAGTTGGGATCTTAGTTGTTTATTTCCACATAGCCAATATATGTCCCCAACTGTTTTTGCATGATTCATTAATAATGCTATGGGTGGATTATGATAGGTGGAGCAATAACCAGATGGGAATTTGCCCATGAATGTACCTGTGTTCTTAGGTATTGAATAACAAGTGTAGTTACCTGGGTATACAGTGACTCAGTCAGGTGGTCTAACGTGCCCCTGGATGATTGGGTAGACCTTTTTCCATGACTCACACGTTGAAGAATTAGTAGTGGATTGTGCATAGAGACTCAAGACACATAATTGAACATCGGGGGGTAGGTTTAAAGGCACCGTACCCAGGTGGGGCCTGGCTCCTCCACATACATAACAATTAGTCTTATTGTGTGAGTTAGCGTTATATCTCATCCATTCCAGCCATAAGTTAGTGTCTGAGAACCCAGTTTCCACTGCCATCGTGTCTTCGAAAGTAGGATTGGCTATAGCTACCATATCATGTAAAGTCTTGATATGTTGTTTCAGTGGGTTAACAGTCATGTGAGTAGTTCCTACCCAGTCAGGTGAGGTAAGCATATCTTGCAGATAGAAAGTCCCCAACTTGTTGTATGAGTCACCGCCCCTCCAGTACATGCCCATTATATATTCCCCCGCATCTTTTGGACTAGGGTGCTCCATGTTCAGTGTGAGTTTGATGGGGGTTAACCCGATAGGTTTACTTAAGGTCATTCTGGAGAGTAGGGACTTCCCGTCTTGGTCAATTCTGTCTAGGGTGCTCTGGGGCTTATAGCCCCATGGTCTACCCGTGTTCCACCCAGCCGCCTTCCATGAACTAACCAATGATGCCCCCATGACCACCCCGTTACGTAAATATATGGGTCCTTTTTACTGGGTATGTCCTTGTATATAGCAGCATATTGTGTTTGTGGAAAGGTGCAGGTGACAATATCACAATAATCAAAAGAAAAGGTAGCCACATCTGTGTTTGAGGAATTGTACCAAAAGGTATAAACATGGTTATCTTTAGTTATAGCCACTTGTTGAGCCCCTGTAAAGTTTAGCAGCAAGATAAAACACATTAGCAGCAAGAGAAAACACAAGGAACACAGAAAACTCATAGCTCGGCAGGGGTGACTTCTTCTGCAGCAGGCACTTTCTTGCAGTGTGAGGCGTGTATCCAGGAACTCTTTCCTGCCAGTTTCACCGAGGTAGTTGTAATCAGTAGCACTTGGTAAGGACCATCAAATCTTGGCTCAAGGGTATGTTTCCTGAGGAATTTCTTGACCATAACCCAGTCACCGGGGAGCAACTTGTGTGTACCTGTATTCGACTCAGGATCTGGAATAGAAGAAAACACTTGGGCATGGATTTTGGTCAAGGCATGAGAGGTTACATAATATACCATAACATCTGACTGAATCTGGAGTTGTTGGGGGAAGTAACAACCTAACCTTGGTGCTGTGCCGAACAGGATCTCATAGGGAGATAAGTTGTATTTTCACCTAGGGGTGTACCATACACTAAATAATGCTAATGGAAGAATCTCAGGCCAGGGCATGTTAGTTTCTTGGGACATCTTAAGCATTCTGGCCTTCAATGTGCCATTCATGCATTCTACCTTACCACTACTCTGTGGGTGATATGGTGTGTGGAAGGCAAGGGTCACCCCCAGTGCTGACCAGACTTCCTGTGTCAATGAGGCGGTGAAGGATACCGGCAGACAATTTCCATCAGAAGATGTTTAGCTGTGGTCATTGCGATAAGATTAGCCACTGGGAAAGCTCCTGGCCACCCTGAGAACATATCCACAATGACTAATGCATATTCATAACGTCCACTCTTTGGCATCTGGATGTGGTCAATCTGTATCCTCTGGAAAGGGTACTGGGGCTTGGCCAAGTGATTGGGTGCGGTTTTAACTATCTTTCCAGGGTTGCATTTAGCACAAATTCTACAAGATCTACAATAGTTCTGCATCAGAGTAGTAATACCTGGTGCTTCAGAGTATTTATCAATCAGAGTTCATCAAATGTTTTGACAGGTGGGCTGGCCCATGGGCCCATTGGACAACAGCTGGATACATGTTCTTGGGTAGGCAGAACTTAAGATTGATGGTGTAAACATCATCTCGGAGGATAGCCCCTCTGTTCTTCCAACTTTGTTTCTCTTGAGGGGTGGCAGCTGCTTGTTGCTCCTTTAGAAGTCTAAGATCTGTAGGTAATGTCTGCATAGTGTAGATGGGTGTTGTTTCAGTGGCCACTCTTCTGTCCACTTTCCACCTTTGTCTTGCTGCTTCTTTGGCGGCTTGATCAGCTAAGTGGTTGCCTCGTGCTTCCTCTGAATTTAGTCTTCCATGAGCTTTCACTTTTAACACTGCCACTTCTGCAGGAAGTACCAAAGCAACCATCAGTCCTTCAATGGCCGCCCCATGTTTCACCGGAGTACCGGTAGCTGTGAGAAATCCTCTAGTTTTCCAAATCAGGCCAAAATCATGTGCCACTCCCAGGGCATATCTTGAGTCTGTATAAATATTGACACGTAGACCTTCAGATAGTTTGCAGGCTACTGTGAGGGCTGTTAGCTCGGCTTCTTGAGCTGATTTGGTTGGCGGAAGTGCGGCTGTCTGTAGTATTTGGCTTTCTGTGGTAACTGCATACCCAGTGTGATATTGCCCTTGTTCAACGGCAAATCTGGAACCATCCACGAACAGTGTTTGATCTGGATTAAGTAGAGCAGTCTCGTGTACAGTTGGTAATTGGGTAGTTTCCATCTTCATCTGTTCAAAGCAATCATGAGGGGTTTATGAGTCTTGTTCCATGGAGGATAGGTCTTCACAAATCTCTGTATGGTATCTAGGATATCCAACTGTACTTTTTAGTTACTCCCATAGAGTCAAGTTGTTCCTGGGTTGTTGCACTCCAGGACTTGGCCATTGGGCCTAAATCTTTCCATGAGAGATCAGGGGACTTGGTGAGGGATATGTGTGGGACAGCTGTCTCCCGATGTCGGTAGAGGTGGGATGCTTCTGTTGGGATGTGTACCAGCAGGACCATGTTGCCTCTGGGATCCCACAACAAGTCTGTCAGTGTGATGTGAATTTCCACGAGCTGAAATAATTCTTCTTCATAGTCCACATCAGGGCCTGGGCTGTCTTTGAACCACAAGGTACAGTGTAACAAGTTCTCTGGTTGTACATCATGTGGAGGTGCAGGAGGTGTAAGAGTAGGTAGTTGAAATTCCATCCGGGCATCTGGGTTGACATCCAGGCTGTACCAATACTGTGCTACTCCCCCCTTGGGAAGTGGAAGAAGAGTGGCCGGGTTCAGAGAGTAGCAGCGTTGGAGGGTGACGTTGTCAGGTAATAATAAAGAAGTTTGCAGATGTAGATGACGTTGAGAAGAGAGATGCCTGGGTTGAACCTGTTGAAGGATGGCAGAAATGTCATGAGGAGCCAAGACATTCAGAGTGTGACCAAGAACAAAGTCATAGGTTTTGTCCAGCAAGGCACTGGCAGCAAACACTGCCCTCAGGCAAGAGGGACTACCTCTGGCTACAGGGTCAAGCATGCAGGAGAAATAGCCAATGGGTCTCTGTCTGGAGCCATGTTTTTGAGTAAGAACGCCGGAAGCGTGGCCCAATTTTTCAGACACAAACAACTTGAAGGGCAGCTGATAGTTCGGTAGGCCCAAGGTTGGTGCAGAAGCAATGGATTTCTTCAGGGCAGTGAAGCAGGCAATAGCTTGTGTTGAGAGTGAGAAGGGCTCGCTCTTCAGGGCATCGTAGAGGGGTTGGATTAGCTGGGAGGCTTCTGGAATCCAGGACCTGCAGTACGTAATGAGGCCTAAAAAAGCATGGAGAGACTAATGAGCTGCAGGTAATGGTAGATTCAAGATGGCCAAAATCCTTTTGTTTGGTGAGGTGACGGGTGCCATGGGAGAGGCAATGTCCCAAGAAGACCACAGAGGGCTGGCACCACTGGAGTTTGGATTTGGAGACTTTGCAGCCTTCTTCAGCAAGGAAGCAGAGGAGATCCTCAGAATCTCGTTCAGCAGTCTGGAGTTCAGCAGCACAGAGAAGTAAATCATCAACATATTGAAGTAGGACTACATCTGAGTAAGCCTTTTGCCAGGGTTCCAGAACCATTGACATGGCGCGGGCAAACTGAGTGGGGGAATTTTGAGCCCCCTGGGGCATGACAGTCCATGTGTATTGCTGACCTTCATGGGTAAAGGCGAAGAGGTGTTGACAGGATGGGTCCAGGGGCACACTGAAAAATGCATTAGCAGGGTATGTGGATTTGGAACAATTGCAGTATCCTTGACAGTTACTTCATTAACAGCACGTAAATCCTGGACCATGCGGTACTGATCAGGTTGCCCTTTTTCAGTTTTCTTCTTAACAGGGAAGAGGGGAGTGTTGCATGGTGACACACACTTGACAAGGGCATCTTTAGCTAGAAGGTTTTCCACTTACTTGGAAATGGCGAGTGCCTGGGTGGGTTTCAGTGGATACTGGGATCTTCGGGGAGGCGCTACTCCTGGCAGTAGTGTGACCACAACGGGGGGAGCTTTAAGGCGTCCAATATCATCCGGGCCAGTGGACCAGAGCTTTGCAGGGATTTTGTCCAGAGCACTGGGGGCATGAAGGACCCTTGATTCCCCTGTGGGAGATGCAAGATGTAGTAGTATGGGGAGGGAACAAAGTGCTGAAGTATCTTTCCGTGACGGGTGTATTTAACTGAACTTGGCCGTCTGCAGTAAAGGTAATGGACGCTTGTAGACGGGACAGAACATCAGCACCCAAGAGGTTAATGGGGCACGTGGAGGAGACAACAAACCAGGAGAGGATTTCTGACCCCACAATGAAGGAGTTTTGTGAGTGGGCTACTGCGGGGGGTACCGTCAACTCCAACACAAGAGACATCGGTATCTGACAGGAAGGATGGGTCAGGCAGGTCTTGTTCTCTAAGAACACTACGGGCTGCACCTGTGTCAACTAGGAAAGTAGTGGCCCACCCCCATCCCCTGTAGACACTGCCATGGCTTGCCGGTTACCTATTGCAATAAATCTAAATGAGCCTGGTCAGGGCCAGTATAACGGCGTGAGGAGGTGGCAGGGAGGCTCGCTTGAAGGGCAGGGCGGGCAGTACGGCTCTGTCTAGGGATGGAAGTCATCAGTGTCAAACCCGTCAGC